AAACCCGCGGGCTCAGGCAATCCATTCACCTCAGCCTCCCAAAGGTGTGGGATTACAGGCGACCAGAATTCTTAAGTACAAAAATCTAACTCTGGCCAGGCTTGGTGGCTCAGCCTGTAATCCCAGCACTTTGGGAGGCCGAGACGAGTGGATTGCCTGAGCCCAAGAGTTCGTGACAGAGTGAGACTCCAACTGAAAAAAAAAAATCAAGCTCCAAGGCCATCTCCTTCCCTGACAGCCCCATTAAGAATGTGACCTTTTTCTTTTTCAAACTGGGGTCTTGCTATGTGGCTCATTGCTCAATCCTCCCACCTTGACCTCCCAAGTAGCTGGGATTACAGCTGAAAAACATAACTTTTTACTTAAACTCACTACTATATTTTAGATGCTCTTCCTCTCCAAACCTCATGTTGAAACATGATTCCCAATGTTGGGGTTGGTGCTAATGGGAGCCAGATGGGGCATGAGGGCAGGTCCCTCATGAATAGACTAACGCCCTCCCTGGGTGGGGGGGTAGTAGTGAGAGAGTTGTTACTCTATTAGTTTCCGAGAGGGCTGGTTATTAAGGAGTCTGGCACCTCCCCACCTTTGCTTCCCCTCTTGCCATGTGATCCCTACACATCAGCCCTCTTTGCTTTCCACCATGAGTGGAAGCTTCCTAAGGTCTCATCAGAAGCAAATGCTGGCACCATGCATCTTGTACAGCCTGCAGAACTATGAGTCAAATAAACCTCTTTTCTTTATCAGTTACCCAGCCTGTTAATCCTTTATAGCAACACAAATAGACAAGGACACAAACAACTCTTTTATTACTTTTGTGGTATTCTCACTGCAAAGACACTCCTATGAAGATCAAGCACAAATTAAAATTTGTTTCATTCAGGCCAGGCGTAGTGGTTCATGCCTGTAATCTCAGCACTTTGGGAGGGGAGGTAGGAGGAACACTTGAGTGCAGAAGTTTGAGACCAGCCTGGGCAACATAGTGAGAACTTGTCTCTACAATAAATCAAAACAAGCAAGAAAAATTAGCCAGGCATGGTGTTGTACATCTGTAGTCCCAGCTACTTAGGAGGCTGAGGCAGGAGAATCATCTGAGTCCAGGAGGTTGAGGCTGCAGTGAGCTGTGGTTGGGCAACTGCATTCCTGCCTGGGCAACAGAATGAAACTTCAACTCAAAAAAAAAAATTGTTTCACTCAAATAACTTCCTCTAATGAAAAAACCAGCCTTGGCTGGGCTCGGGGGCTCAGCCTGTAATCCCAGCACTTTGGGAGGCCAAGGTGAGCGGATTGCCTGAGCCCACGGGTTCGAGACCCGCCTGGGCAACTTGGCAAGACCTCATCTCTACAATAAATCAAAAATTAGCCGAACGTGGTAGGGCACGCCTGTAGTTCCAGCTACTTGAAAGGCTGAGGCGGAAGGATCGCCGGAGCCCAGCAGGTCGAGGCTGCAGTGGCCGGGAGCGGCCACTGCACTCCAGTCTGGGTGACAGAGTAAGACTCCAACTCAAAAAAAAAGAAAAAACCAGCCTTAATCTGTATTTTCTCTTTCTGTTATCTAGTTCTAGTAAGTGAACTGCTACTATTCTTAGAGCAAAATTGTTTTTAAATAGGAGAAAGAGTAGACAAAAATTTGTGTATTACATGGGTTATTTGGTTCGCCATTGATTCATTCAAAAACACTTATTGGGTGTTCATTATAGACAAAAGCAAATATCTAAAAGACATTTAACTAACAACTGAGAATACAAAATGAGGACAAAGCTAGGCTCCTTTAAGGTTGTCAGATGGAAATGTCCATAAGACAAAAGCATTAAATCTTAGAGTTTTTCCATTTTGTTTTTGCTTTTTTTTATCATGCAAATTTATTTTCTCAAAAGGCATATGGCAAAAATTATTCTTTAATCTTAAACCATTAACTGTATGTCATTAAGTCTCTAAGTAAAGGAAGTTTTCAAAATGCATTCATTATTGTGAATTTTTAAATAGCATATACTTTAATGATATCCAATTATTTGTACATTTGTCAAAAAATAAATAATAAGCCAGAAAATTGATAAATTGTTGAGATGAAGAGAAGCTAAGAAAAATACCTCTAATTCAACTACTAATACTTTCACAACTCAAAGTTGTACTTATTTTGAATTTTGAATCCAAATGTGTGCTTTCTAACACAGGGCTACACTCAATATTTATGGAGCAGACAGAAGAGGGAAAACAGAAGGCAATGTCTACCTTCCGTTCCTTTTTCACTTAACACCTCCTCTGTGAGACAAATACTTTTCAATTTGGCTGAAAATTTATATACATAAGATCTTAACGGGTCAAAATAACTCAACATTGCTATTTTTTCTACAGCAGACTTAATATGAAACCATTTGCTACGATGCTTTGAGAAATCTCTGTGCCCAAACTCTTGCACCAGAATCTATCTAGATATTTTATTTTTTATATACTGGATGACTTTAAAGTTAGCATGTCTCATTTTGCCACACCACAAAAATGAGCTACAGTCTATCTGACTGAAAAACAGATTTCCAAGCTACTATCAATCTGTAGCACCTAATCTTGCAAAATGATTCTTTGTGTAATTTTTCTCATTATTTGGGGCCATTTTGACATATTCCACAAAAGAGGTCAGGACTCTGTGGCCTGGAACAGCCTGAACTATACAGACAGTATCTTCTGCGTTGACTTCCACTTTGCTGAGGATCTGTCACAGGCAGCTCTTATCCTTCAGAGCATAAGTTTCAAAGCTGTGATAAGAGAGGCTGACGATGCAACGAGCATATCACGCAATACGAAGATTCTTGGAGCAACACTTATTCTCCCAAACTAGGTCCTCTAAAAGAAATTGGCTCTTTTAAGCCACTGGACTACTATGTAATACACTTAGTAAATGGTGTGCAAAATACATTCTGAAAACAGGCTGTCACTCAGACAGCCAAGCAGGGGTTGGCAAACTTTTTGTGTGCAGGACCAGAGTATTTTTGACTTTGTGGACCACACAGTCTCATTACAACTCTGTGAATTCATTTAAGAGCATTTCATTATCCATTTACATTGAGTGAGTTTTATGATATGCAAATTATACGTCAAAAAAAAGAATTAAGGCATAATAAATCCATTTCAAGATCAAAGAAAGCTAAATGAATTCGTCACTAACAGAACTGCACTGTAAGGTAAGTTTAAAAGTTTTGAGGCTGAAGGGAAATGAGCTCAATGGAAACTCAAACTTCTAGGAAGGAATGAAGAACATTGGCAATATCTAAATAAATATAAAAGACTACTTATTTTTCTTAATTTCCCTGTAATATATGGCTATTTATAGCAAAAAAAATGATATCATGACCTTGGGGACATTAAAACATATGTTTGTGTCACATATATGACATATACATGTATCACCTATATATTGATATGTAAAACAACAATAGCATAAAGAACGGAAGATAAACGAATCAATTTGATTGCAAGATTTTCACATGTTACAAAAAATTGTACAATAACTTAGAAATTGTACAACTCTAAGTAGACTTTAAACATTTTAGAATGTATATTGTAATTGTTAAAGCAACTACTAAAAATGTAATAGGAAGAAGTAGAACCAAAAGTCAATAGATAAATTAAAGTGGAATTCTAAAGAAAACTAACCATCCAAAACCAGGCAAGAAAGGAAGAAATGGAGAAACAAAGAACAGAGGGAATAAGCAAATAAAGAGTAAAATGGTATACCTAAATTGAACCATGTCAACAATTACATTGTGTTAATGGACCAAGTACTCCAGTCAAAAGACAGAGATTGTCAGAATGGATAAGAAAGCAAGACAACTATGTGCTGCTTATAAAAGATATACTTTTTAGCCAGGCTCGGAGGCTCAGTGGCTCAGCCTGTAATCCTGCGCCTTTGAGAGGCTGAGGTGAGTGGATTGTCTGAGCCCGTGGGTTGAGACCCGCCTCGGCAACTTGGCAAGACCTCATCTCGACAATAAATCAAAAATTAGTCGGGTGTGGTAGCAAACGCCTGTAGTTTCAGCTACTTGGAAGGCTGAGGCGGAAGGATCGCCAGAGTCCAGCAGGTCAAGGCTGCGGTGGCCGGGAGTGGCCACTGCACTCCAGTCTGGGCGACAGAGTGAGACTCTCACTCAAAAAAAAAGAGAGATATACTTTCAAAACAAAAGTTTAAAAAAGCTTGAAGTAAATGGAAAAAAAAAGAAGGATGTATCATACAAATAGCATCAGAAGACTGTAATGACTCTATTGCTAGATTAAGCAGATATCAAGAAAAACAACATTACTAAAGATAAACAGGAATATTTCATAACAGTGTCCATCTACCAGGAAGTCAAAATAGTCATTAACATGCATACACCTAATAGCAATGTTTTAACACACATGAAGCAAAATTTGACAGAATTAAAGAGGGATTTCCATAGCTTTTAAAGCTTCCCTCTCAGCAAATTATAAAACAAGAGGAAAAGATGTCAGTCAAGACACAGTTAGAACAACACTATCAACCACCTTGTATTAACTGGCATTTACAGAATATTACACCCAATAACTGTAGAATACATGATCTTTTTAAGTGCACATGCTTATATACCACACACTGGGCCATAAACCAAGTTTCAATAAGTTTAAAAGGATTTAAATCATACAGATATAGTCGAACACACATACATACATTCATCCTCACATGTTCCTTCTGGGCTTTTCATGACCCCTTTTAAGCATTTGTTGATATGGACACATGGTGGTGGAAAAGAGGCTGCAGGTCAAAGTACAGATAATCTGCTATGGCAAACCAAGAATTGATGACAAATATGATTATGGATACGTCTGCATTTTCTCTAAGCAGAATGCTATAAATTCCTACTTAAATCCAACCACTACCCACATGACATCATGGAGAAAACATAAGAACACTATTTTTTGACGAAACATCTACCCTGTCTTTTGCAAAACTTCTCCTGGAAGCCTAAAGACCTCATCCAACAAAGCCGTCCTTTGAAAATGTTCTTTTAGTCAACATGACCCAGTCACCTGGTGATTGAGGCCGTCCCAGGTTTCTCTCAACTTTAGCTGATCTTCGTTCAGCTCACCCAGATTCCTTGTTTGTGACAGAACATCCAAAAAGAACTTTTTTTCTTCATCAAATGACTCCATGAAGGACAGCAGATTCTACGGTTAGAAGAGTATTTTAAAGACTGGAAATATTTAATTCTGTTTCTAAGATGCAACCTGCTATTTTGAAGTCATAGCTATAGGTTATATTTAAATCACTTTATGGTAAAGTCCCCCAAATCCAGTGTGCATCCTCCGATTTGGTTTCTTTCTTTACTGCACTGTGATCATCTGGGTGCCAGCGTGGCAAGGCCACCAGGCTACATAGGACAGATCATGATGCCATGTGGAAACGTGAGCTTATTTGTCCTCCCCAAATATGTGGCCACCAAAAAAAGAGGAGTGCAATGACCACGGAAACACCATAGGTAGTGATCTGGGCTTACAAATACATTTTAGCAAGTAAGAAAAAAAATAAGTGGATGTAAAAATTATGTGACAGCCATCCTCATGTATACAAGAATTTCATAGGGTTTGTGATTAACTGAGCATGAGCCAATTCTTCTCAATTCATTTTATAAAAACTTTAAGGAACACTTTACCTCTGCCTTCAAAAATTTAATAAATAAACCTTTTCTTGGTTTGCATTTATGTGGAATATTAGTGTTTAAGAGTTATCAAGTCCATAAATGCTGTTTAAAACACCCATAATTATTGACAGGTTTTTTTTTTTAATGTTTTTCTAGACAGGGTCTCATTCTGTCACTCAGGCTAGAATGCGGTGGGGGAAATCAGAAATTACTGTAGCCTTGAACTCCTGGCTTCACGTGATCCTCCCACCTTGGCTTCCCAAAGAGCTGAGATTTGCAGGTATGAGCCACTGCACCTAGCCAGCATGTTTAAATTAAATTTTATGAGCAAACTAAGGGATAATTAACTTGATTTCATGATTTCTGATAACTAATAGCTTTATAACGCCTTCTGTTTTAGAAACCTGAATCTGTGGTCATTGCTAAACAAGGACTTATTGGGGGGAGGCCCCAAAAAAACAACAGGATTATTTTTTGGAGGGCAGGCCTCTTGTAGTACAGGCTTCCCTATAGTTCCTAGAACACAGGGATGAAAAAAATCCTCAAAGGGAAACATTTTGCCAATGTGGAAGAGGTAAAACAAAAAATGGCAGAAGCAATAAAGGGCATCATAATTGACAAGTTTAAAAACCATTTTGAGCAGTAGAAAAAGTGTCTGGATAGGTGCATTGCCTCAAACGAGAGAGAGTATTCTGAAGGTGACTGTAGTTTAAACACATAAGAATAAATACACCATTTTTAATAAATAAATTTTGTTTTGGGGCTCACCCCTCTTCATATGTAAGAACAATACACTTGAAGTAGATGCTGAGCATCTCATCAATTTAAAAAAAAAAAATCTCAGACCAGAGCTAAAGGAAAAGATGCTCAAGAAGCCTATGCAGTCGAGACTAAAGGAAGGTAGGAACAGCTAATCCCTTCCTTCTCTGACGACTCCAAAGCAAAAAGGCTAAGAAGGCCAGCAGGCCACATGACCCAGTGAATGTTAAGAGTTAGACAGGCTGGACACATCCAGCTCCCTCACTTAACAGGGAGTTGGAGGTCTAGAGGTACTGGGTGCTGGGTGCATATGACAGTACCTCCAGCTAGCTCAGACAGAGCACTAATGAGAAGCACAAAGCAGCATAGACAACGGGCTTCTAGAAACCAGTGACCCTCACTTGGAGTCTTGCTGGTCTCTTTCAAGATTGTCCAGGGAATAACTACTTACCCTGGAGAAGCATAGGGATATAAAAAGAGCTAGGCCTCCAACGCCAGACTCCTATTTAAATTCCACCTCTGCCTTTCAGGAGCTATAGAACCCTAGATAAGTCATTGACTGTCTTCATCTGTAAAACTTTAATAACAATACCAAGCCAGGTGTGTGGCTCACGCCTGTAATCCCAGCACTTTGGGAGGCCAAGGCAGGAGGATTGCTTGAGTTCAGGAGTTTAAGACCAGCCTAGACAACAAAGCAAGACCTCATCTCTACAAAAAAATAAAAACATCAGGTGGGCACAGTGTAGTCTCAATTACTTGGGACACTGAAGCAGGAGGATCCCTTGAACCCAGGAGTTCGAGTCTACAGCAAGCTATGATCCTGCAACTAAAAAATGAAATAAAATAAAAACAACACCAAACTCAGCAAGATATATTAACATGTGAAATGCTTATCAGTTCAGTGCCTGGTACAGAGCAAATATTCAACACATGGTGAAGTTATTATTATTCCCCAAAGGACTCCTGGTTGAGGCCCTGTACTGTAATTCTGGGATAACACATTCCTGATTTCCGCATTTTTCTGTCATTCAGCATTCACTCTGAAAAGCATGTTCTGCTCTAAACCACAGAGTGAAGACCTTTGACAGTGAGGGGCAAGAAAGACAGCAAAATATTTCAGGCTTTATGAACCGGCCAGTATAGCCTCCATCACAATACTCAACTCCGTGGTGGGATAATAGCTACAGTCAGTACCTAAATGGGCAGGGTTCTGTTGTGATAACATTTAAAATAACAGGCGTCAGGCCCCATGGGCCTTAGTTAGAACCAAGCTGCTCAAATACTTCAAAAACCAGCAGTACCTGCAGCACCTGGGACCTTGTTCGAAATGCAGAATAGCAGGATCTGCCCCATTGATGAATCAGAACAAGTACTGGAACATGATTACCCAGTGATTCATATGTACTTAGTTCTTCAGAAGCATGGTCCTCAAACTTTAGGCCTTAAAACCTGTAGTTAATGTGATATTTAATAATTAACTCTGGGGGTAACCCCTTCGGGTCCCCTCCCACTGTGGGAACTTTTCTGTCCTCTCAATAAATCCTACTTAAAAAAAAACTTATTACTCTAAAAACATACTTACTACTCATCCTTGAAAAGGTGAACTACAAATAGCTGCTTAAAATCATACTTACATGATACTTTTTTAAAAAGGTCTCGTTTTCTGAATCGTTTAGCATCTTCTGGAGTTTTTCCTCTTGCAGAGTCAACCAGACCATAGCATCCCTTACCCTTCCCTGTAAGTCACATACACACACATTTAAACTATAGCCTAAATAAATTCAGTGGTTTTCTAACCAAAAAAAATTAACAACGTGAAACATCTGTGAAATAATGTCATTCATACACACCAATGATCACTATTTGGGAGTCTGTGGCAGGAGTATCGCTTGAGCTCAGGAGTTCAAGATCAGCCTGGGCAACGAAGCAAGACTTCATATCTCTACAAAAAACTGAAAAAACAAGCCAGGCACAGGGGTGTGCACCTGCAGTCCCAGCTACTCAGGAGTAATTCTACTTGTTCAAGTAACACCTTAAATTGAAAAACAGATTGAAACTAGCATCTAAACATAACAACGTACTAAAGAACCCCCCTGTTTTGAGGATTAACATTTCCATTATCATTTCAATTTTAAAGTGATTATTTTAAATCACTAATTTATCATGGGCTTTTCAGAAGACTGCCTTCTAATACATCTAAATACAGGGTAATTTAAGAAATGTTAACACCCAGCAAAAACAGGGACGTCAAAAATATCTTGAACATACCCTAAAAATTCTGGCTATACCATCATTAAGATTTTTTCCTTAGATTCTTGTGTATATGGTCAACTTGCTAACATTTGGAGGCAGACTTTCCTGCTAGAGTATAAAGCAGATCTTTTTTTGGTTTTGTTTTGTTTTGTTTTGTTTTTTGAGTTGGAGTCTCACTCTGTCACCCAGACTGGAGTGCAG